GTCTGTGCCACCTCCGAGCCAGATTTCCATATGCGTTTTCAAACTAATGCGGATTAATCAGTCCAAAATTCCGAAATTCCAAGGGCATAAATCGGGAACACAATGATGTTACTCACTCTTGTATAAATTTCCAACAGTCTTCCACATACGCAGTTTGTAACAGAGATCAATCCAGGTGGCTCGCGGCTGGAGCTAGATCGTGGAAGTCCGTTTTCCAGTACTTGTAAGCTGGTTCCCGCGGACGTGAATACGGCAAAGGGAATTCCATATCAGCTATGAGCACTGAGTGGTCGCTTGTAACCAGTGGCTCCAGGATCCGAACGTCACGATCTCGTTTTCCATAGCTCCTTAACATCCGGTCGAGACATGACGGGGATGAGCGTAGCGTTATGATTGTTGGCTGACATATGTGTTGCGATGTACTCGTTTCAACTACCAGATCCACGAACTTTGCTTCAACCTCACCATGTCCAGGCATCAAATGCACATCAGGCCATCTTATTCGAGGACAGTTAATATTGCCCATAAATAAAAATGGTGAACGAATCATGTGGATTCGAAGATGGGGAAGCCAGTCCAAACAACGACACAGCGGTTGCGATAGTCTGCGCCCACAACTAGTTCTCCGCGCCTTAGGTGGGTGGAGCACCACAGTTGATCACATAAACCATCGTCACTTCCGTAGGTAAACACAAGTCTCCCACGCAGGAAAGGCCGGAAGTAGAGCAAAACACCACAGCGGACATTAGTTACTCTATCGAATCGGAAGCACGAGTAAGCCTTGAGTTCATGTTCCTGGGTGTATAACTCTGCATGCAGCCATGCCTCTGCGAGTCTCACTACGTCTGGCTACTCAGAGGCAACGAAACAACAAAGCTCATCGCGCTTATTCATAAACGGAAAACGTTTGTGAAGGCTACTCGCAGGCCGCAGCAGGAGCTCCTGGGCGTGCTTGAAGTGTGAGCAGCCTGTTTATTCTGACTCGCAGATTCTTGGAAACCACCAGAAAAGTTAAGATGCGAACATTTGTTTCCCCCTCACTAGTACGTCTTTTCAGCTCACTGATGGCAGAATTAAGCCGCTCCCGGTCTACTGGGTTCAGGTTTGGTTGAACATGGATCTTCAAATCTTTCAGCTTTTTGAGGCCGGACGAGATCAGTCTTGGATTGGCTTTGTCTACAAAAGTGCATCTCATTAGCCAATTGTTTGGTCATCTTGCTTTCCGAGACGGGTAATTTACCTGACTTTTACCGAGTCTTCAACAGCGTCAAGGAGTTTGTCAATAAGACTCTGTAAAAACAGACATTGTTATCGTAGCGCACTTGGGGTGATGAAACCCTGGACTCTGACGCGTGCGTGATCATGAGGTTATAACGCCTCTGGTTGGACGAGGTTGACCTTGCAGGGCGGTATATTACCAACTTCACGTGGTGTGGCTAACGGTTGACTGACATAAGTTAAACGCCCTACCTCCCTTCGCAGTTTCGTTCTTCGTTCTTTCCACTGGTCTTCAGCAATCAGACTTTCACTTGTTGGGACAGCTGTGCTCATTGGACACAACAAGGGTTAGCAATGTATGCCAGGTGAAACTGGACTTCTCACAACCGTTGGACTTCGTGTCGGTGAGTTTGCACGCGTAGAGGAGGAAGACATGGCTGAAACCTGTAGGCTCTTCGGGCTAGGTTGTTGGGCCTTACACACGGAATTGTATCTTGTTTCGACAATTCTCAAATAAAGTTTGAACGAAATCGTGTTGGATTTCACGAAGACGACGAAATTGCTCTACTAATAATCCAACAAATAAAAGTGGTTTATAACTTGGCACTTAAAACACACGTGGAGGTATTTTCATGGTATCCGACTATCTTGGAACAAGTACCATTGAGTGATTGCTTAGGCATTGTGAATAATCCGAAACAAGATGGCGACCAATTGTTGGAGAAAATGGCGATAGCAAGATAGTCTAAAAAAGCGATGCAAATACAAGTATATTTGGTGGAAAAATTCAGAAAGAAGACTGCAAATGAATTGTATCTATTTTTCCACGAAATACTTATAATGTACAAAGAAATACAATGCAAAGTGCTCTTGTCAACACAGCCAAAAATAACCGACTGGAGGCCGCTATCAGCGCGAAAACGGTTGAAGGATCAGCTCATGCGCTACAATACATGGAAGAGAACCGTACATGTACGCTTCGTGCACGTCGTTTGCCGCACCCTAGCATTCATTTTAAAGATAGTTTGCTGCTTGATACTTACACTCGGCACTGCCGTACGCACTTCGCGGGCGATTTCACTGCACACGCAGCAAAGTGAACGATTCAAACGAATTTGCATGAATTGATGACGGTTATTAATAAGTGCAACCATGTCACATTGCCTACCAGATTCAAGGCAGCAAACGAACCATCAGTAATATAGCTTGTGCTCACAGACGAAAAGCTTATTACCCTCAATCTAATGATGTAAATTCAGTTAAGGCTCAGTGAGCATGTACTCATAAATGTGAACCACATTTGATATGCATTTGACTTGAATTATAGAACCATGCATTGCCACGTCCTAACAAAACCCCTTGAAGCATCCACGTTAGTAATCTGGAATAACCGTTCCCTTGATACTGTCTGGACAGCATTTGTTCAAATATCGTAAACGCATCAGGAAGCAGAAAACTTCGGTCCAAGAACATGTCATCATTTCTCTGTAACTGCACAGGGGAACGCTTAGCTGAAAGTGACGTTGAATGACACACTGAAAGCCCAAGCATTTCGGGTTTTGAAGCATCCGTCCTGGGTCTGAATTGCGATGCACAATCTCAATTGTGGCCTCGCTTATCTTTGAAGTCAGCCTATGTCATTCCGAGCATTGGCATGGATTACTGCATTGACGGGAGAGAACAAAAAGGATATCCTCCATCTTGGGCGATTTCCTGCTCCACCACCATCTTCTTGTTACACTTGTGCGGGAAGACAAAACTACCCAAAAGCAATGCTTGGCCAAGGAGCCTCTGACCAAAAACAGTCAACAGTACCTGCATGTCAGTGGCATTCGTATCGCGAAGCAAGGTATCCCCTTACCTTTCACAGCAAACGTAGATATACAACGGATCAATGAAGTAGCCAACGTCTTGCGGAAACAATGCGCCTTTCGAACATGCCATCTGTTGCTGCCACATACCTTCAATAAATTTACCTGCTCCAGGATTTGCGCATATATTCCTGAGTCGACCAATTGAGCTAAGCTTGCTCTCACTGCAGTCATAGCTCTCCCGGACTGGGAAATTGGGGGTTACGGCTATTAAGTTATCCGGCCCATTTCGCATTTCAATGAAAGACGCTTGGATGTGCAACAAGTCCCGACTAGTTGGAAGTAGGGCATAATTATCCCGACGGCTGTGCGCATCCTGAGCATTGGTTTCTAACTGTGCTGTCTAAGGTGTTGGCAATTGTCAACGCTGAGGATTTAATCGGGCACCTAAAAATGCTACGTCATGGCATAGGAACAGCACAGATTCCGACAGCAACGTTCATACACCAGCAACCTGCTTTTGGCAAGAGGTTGCTGAAAAAAGTGGCAGGTAATTTACCTGGGATTTGTGCAATATTTCCGAACTTTTCAAGGCATTCCACCAACTAGAATAATTCAACCTAATTCAAGGGTTCAGAAACCCTGACCTTTTATGGAATGGCAAATTCATTCACAGAATGCAGCTGCTAGTGAATGTTCAGGGGTCACTTCAAGACCCGACAGAGGTAGAATGCGTTGTTCCCAAAGATACATCGCGGAGACCACGAATAATGCTGGTGCTTATCAACCATCTAGCAGGTATTATGGCCTCGAAGGTTTTTTTGATTTTCGATGATGCTGTCAAGGCATGGCGGGCGATTAATCTAGAGGAAGATCAAGCTTTCTTCAAACGACCTGAATTTTGCTAATGAATAGTTAAAAAGGATTGAAATACAGGTTAATACAGTTAAATGAAATATGGCTGACATGTGCAGTCGGTCGAAAAGACACATGAATTCGGGTGCTTCATCTTGTTTAAGTCCTCCTAGAAATGGTTCGTTATACCACTTCTTTAGGACAACTTTAGTTGCCATAAACAGTAAAAATGTGGTCGAATACCAGCAACCAACATGTCGGCGTTTGTACAGAGCTTTTGTTCTATCTGACTTCTCGGTATTTCCACACACGTTTGGTGCCTACCTCCAACCCCACATTGAATGGGTCATTCACTTTTGCCATTTCTGTTAGGTACAAGATATTGCTGCTCATGAGATTTCGCAAAGCGAATTGCATCTACGAATAATATCGCTTTTTGTATTGGCCCTACAGACATAAAGTAAAGCGCCTCTGAATTCATATCGGTCCGCATCGGACTATTTCATTCCGTGGTAGATAGCAGAATGGAGGACCGGTGTCAGATCCTTCACTTCCCTATCTTCCAAGGATTGCAAGCTTGGCATCTGTGGCATAGCTCAGGATGTAGTATCAGTCCTGTAGGATCCTGGAGTATTCAGTAGGAAGTTGTCTAACGAAGGTTTGAAACTCACTTCTGACTTCCTAAGAGCTAAATGATTATTGGAATACCTCAACCATGATTGGTGCCCCATCTTTGAACAGAGTCGTAAATCAAACTGCGAGACCATAAGCTAAATTTCGCAAAGCACTATAGATGGCTAGAATGCTATTGTAACCACCTACTTTCGAGTGTGTCATCTGTGGAACGCTGTTTCATCGCACATTACGTACGAGCCCAAACTGGCGATATTTGCTTAAATACTTGAAAATTCATCGTGACATTTAAACTTCTCTATGTAGTTGCTAGTGGTAACTCTTGTATATCACAAATAAACTTGTATTCTAACCCACTACCCAGGTAAGCTTGTAAAACTTTTTATAAAATCTCTCGGTGAGTTCACCAGAATTCGCTCAAACATACCCACATTTCACTGCTATTGCTATTTTCGTCCCGGTCATCCCATTACCCTGTTAAAC